TCGAGCCCACGTGGGCTGCAGCCAGCCCGGCTGTGCAAGAGTTAAACCCGGCTGCTCGCCCGGGTCTCGGGGGCCTCCCACTCGTCCTCGCAGAGTATGAATAGATGTGCTCCCCTCTGCTCTCAGCCACTCACTTCCCTCCCTGCCCTCCCTCTCCTCCAGAGCCTCGGCATCCTCCCCGGCATCCTCCTCCCCGGCGTCTTCCTCTGGCAGTGCCGGCCCCAGAGCCCCGGCACCCTCCGGCAGCGCCGATGCTGAGCACGGAAAGTTTCGCCGGGGCGAGAGCCCTGGGAGAGGAATCGCTGCAGATGTGGGACCTCAACAAGCGGCTGGAGGCGTATCTGGCCCGCGTGAAGTTCCTGGAGGAGGAGAACGAGGTGCTGCGAGCTGAAATCCAGAGCGCCAAGGGCAGCCCGGCCGGGGACTCGTGGCGGGGGAAGTACGAGGAGGAGCTGCGAGCCCTGCGGGATGAGCTGGATCGCGCCTTCAGGGAGAAGTGCACGGCCGAGCTGGCCAGGGACAACCTCTACGAGGAGGTCCAGCAGGTGAAAAGCAGGTGCCAGAAGGAGCAGGCAGCCCGAGAGGAGGCCAAGAAGCAGCTGTCCTTGAGCAGGAAGGAGCTGGAGGAGGAGAGGAGGGCGCAGATCTGGCTGAAGGAGAGAGCCGTGCAGCTGCAGAAGGAGGTGGAAGCCTTGCTGGAGGTGCACGAGGAGGAGAAAGCCGGGCTGGACCAGGAGATCGCCAGCTACTCCCAGAGCCTGGAGAGCTTGCGCTGTGCCCCGGTGGCATTCCAGCCCGTGGAGGTGGAGGACTATTCCAAGAGGCTCTCAGAGATCTGGAAAGGGGCGGTGGAGACCTACAAGGCGGAGGTGTCGCAGCTGGAGGGCTCCCTGTGCCAGGCCAAGGAGAACCTGTGGAAAGCGGTGGAGGACAACCATCAGAGCCAGCTGCAGCTGCAGCACCTGGAGAAGGACCTGGCGGGGCTCAAAGCGAGGAAGGAGATGCTGGAGGAGAGCCTGGCCCAGCAGTGGCAGGAGCAGCGTGGGGAGGCAGAGAAGTTCCAGGTGAGCGAGAGTGGTGGGGAGGGGGAGTTTGGGGGACTGTGGGTGCTTGGGAGGGGGCTCAGGGCGCACACCCCCCCCCCCCCACTCCAGCAAAGGGATGGGGGAGGCAGATGGGAGAAGGCAAGATGAGGGAGCAAACCCCAGGGCAGGGATGGGTCGTGGCCCTGGAGGAGCTGCAGAGGGAGATGAAGCTGGGGAGGGTGGGAGACAGAGCAGAGCAGCTTGGGGACATCCCTGTCCCCATCACAGCAGGCAGCTGGGCCGCCCCCCACTGTAGGGAAGCAGCATCCAGAGATGTCCCCAACACCTGCCCGAGGCTGCTGCTCCACGTCCTGCCGGGCTCCAGGTTCCCTGGGGAGAGGCAGCCCCTGCCCGTGGCCCCCTGACAGGGGGTGCAGGCAGCGGGGTGCAGGCAACGGGGGGGTGGGGGTTGCGGGCAGGATAAACTCCGACCGACTTTGCCGCAGCTGCAACTCAACAGCTGCAAAAGTGATTCAGCGGAGGGAGGTGGAGGCAAGGGGGGCTGGAAATGTGGGAACGGCGTGAATGCTGCCCGGGGAAGGGTCTGTCTTTGTTCCAGGTCCTGGGACCCAGCCATGGGTGTCTCGGGGCAGAGGGTGCTGCTGCTTTGGTTGCTCACCCAAAAGTTGCTTCTTTCCCACGCTGGCACCCCACAGCCCCAAATCCCCTCCCCCCCCCCGGCCTTTCCTCCCTCCTCCAGCAGCCGTTTCCCCATCTCCTCTCAGCCCTGCCCCTCTCCTCGCCCCATCCTCAGCCCCCACCTCGTGCTAAAATCCAATGCCCAGGACTCCTCTTCCCGCAGCGTCCCGAGGGGATGATCCACCTGCCTGGTCCCAGGGGTCGGCAGGGACCAGCAGGGCTCAGGTGAACCTGAGGCACCCCTGACCCCCCCTGTTCCGCCCCCACAGCTGGCGATGGAAGCCCTGGAGCAGGAGCAGCAGAGCCTGCGGGTGCAGATCGCGCGGGTGCTGGAGGACAGGCAGCAGCTCATGCACCTCAAGATGTCCCTCAGCCTGGAAGTGGCGACCTACAGGTGAGGCTCCCGCCGGGAATGGGAGCAGGGGGAGCTTCCCCGACACGCAGGGAGCCGGGGACGAACCTCGGCGGGCACGGGAGGGTCTCGGGGCACAAGGGAGGTCTCGGCAGGGGTAGCCCTGTGCCCCTTCTGCGGCCCTTCCAGATGGCCCCACACAAAGGCCGCCTGCCAGGGACGGGGGGGTGGGGGGGACAATTAGCATGAGAATAGGGGTTGTCCCAGCCCAGGCGAGGGGCCTCCCCGGCAGAGCATGATGTCACCCTGCGAGTACACTAATCCCGGCCACGGGGGGATGGGAGGGGAGACAGGAGCGAGGGGGGCTCCTCCGGTCCCCCCCCCGGTCCCCTCACCGAGCCGTGACAGGGCAGCATAACCATCTGTAGCCCCTCCGTGCCTCAGTTTACCTACTCCCTCACCTGTCTTAGTCCAGCAGGGTGAGCTGGGAGTGCACAGGGAGCACCCACCCACCCTGCAGCACCCACCCTGCAGCACCCACCGCTCTCCTCTCCCCTCCAGGACGCTGCTGGAAGCAGAAAGCACCCGCCTGCAGATGCCAGCCGGGGAATTCAGGCTGGCCAACGGCATGCGAGGTAAGAGACCCCCAGCGCCAGCCCCAGCACCGCCGCTGTGTCTCCCTGGGGCGAGGCTCGGGAGGGGCTGAGGCTGGATATTGGCACATTTTCCTGCATTTTCCTGGCAGCGGTTTCCTGGCTGCGATAGGAAGGTGTGAACAGCGGCCCGGGGGGGCTCCTGGCACGGGGCTCTCAGCCCCAGATAAGGCTTATCTGCTTCTTTGCCTCTTTTTTTTTTTTTTTTTAAATGCCTGCCCTGCACAGGGCAGGATCCGCCCAGCGGGACAGCGGGCTGCGGTAACAAGCTGAGCATTTCCTTTTTCCTCCAAAAAAAAGAAAAAAAGTGACGAGGAAAGCCTCCCACCTGCACACTTTCCCCAGCAGCAGGACCCGACTGTGATCTGCAGCCGGGACAGAGCATTGTCCCGGCCTGATGCCAAATCCCCAGGGAATATCAGCATCCGCTGCACTCAAGAGGGAGGAATTTCCCACTTTCCATGAAGGGGCTGTTTAAAAATAGGAGAGGGGGCAGCGAGAGGCTGCCAGGTGGCAGGGGGAGGGCTGAGGGAGCGGCGGAGCAGCTTCTCGAGCCGCTCACGGCTCCAACTCCCTCTTTGCAGATCTCAAACTGGAGGTGAGCAGCAGCAGCAGCAGCAAACTGGTACCAGCGAGCCCCGAGCCCAGGCGGCTGCTGTCCCGGGACCTCTGCACCAGCCCCTCTGTCTTCCCCAGGGCAGAGGGGAGGGCCCAGCCGGCGAGACCTCAGAGCGACGCCCTGACACCCAAATTGCAGAGCGCCGGTGCCAGGGAGCTCCAGAAAATCAGCTCGGTCCTCCATGGAGCAGCTGCTGGCAGGGCTGGGGGTCCGGGTGCCCCCGGGTGCCTCACAGCGAGCCCCTCCCAGCCCGGCAAAGCCACCCCCTCTCTGTCCCCAGAGCCCCCCAGCCCCTCCCCACCGGAGCCGGGGAGCCCGGAGGGTGAGGGTCCTGCCTGGCCGGGGGGAGCCGGGGGGGTGACGAGCCAAGGGACGGAGCATCCCCTGCCCGGAGCCATCACGGAGACCCCCGAGGACGGCGTGAAGCCCCCGGGGACGGGGCCCACCCGCAGCCTGCAGTACCCGGCCCAGCTGGTCAGCGAGGCCCTGGAGGACGCGCTCAAGGAGATGGAAGATGACGCTCAGCCCCAAGAAGAGCTCGCCCTCAGCGCCACCTGGGCCCCGCAGGATGCCCGTGCCCCCAGCCCCCTTGCCCCCTCAGAGGTTTGTGGAGGGGCTGTGGCAGAGGGGGCACGGGAAGGGCAAGACCCCACCGAGGCCCCTGAGGATGGTGATGGCCCCGAAGTGGAGGAGAAAGTTGGGGAAGCCGAGCTCCAGGGGCTGGGGGTGGAGAGCAGCACCCCGGGGGACAGAGCCACGTCCCCACTGGCCACGGCTGATTCTCTGAGTGACACAGTGAGCCGGGAAGAGCCGGGAGCGTGGGAGGAGGAGGAGGAGGAGAAGGAGGAGGAGGTGCCTGCTGTGCTGAGCCCAAGGGATCCAGGAGCAGAGGTCCAGGAAGAGGATGTGAGTGGTCCTGGACAGACGGTGACCAGCTGGGATGAACCAGAGCGAGAGGAGGATGGGGAGGAGACCCCGAGCACGGAGCCATCACAACCCTCAGAAGATGAGGGGGAAAGGGGACTCCACAGTCCCTGCGAGGAGGACGGAGATTTCCATGGAGAAGGAGGGGATGAGCCAGAAGAGGAGTCCCCAGACAGGGAAGTGGAAGCTGCTCGTGCTGTCCTCGTGGAAAGCCACCTGGTTTCACCCACAAAGAGTCACCTGGAAGAGGACTTGGTTGATGGAGAGCAGGAAAAGTCTGAGCATCGGAAAATGACTGTGAGTGAGACAGAGGCTGCAGAGCAGGAAAGGGGACACGAGCTGTGCCCAGAGCAGGAGCCTTCAAGTGTCCACGAGGCCATCCCAGCAGAGGAGGCTTCATCAGGAGCTGAAGAAGATGCTGTGGGAGGGGAGGACACAGGCAGAGTGAAAGATGGTGAGGGAGAAAAGGGAGAGGCCAGCAGGGAGATGCTGGGAGGAGAGGATCCTGAGGCAGGAGAGGATCCTGAGGCAGGAGAGGATCTAGGGGCAGGAGAGGCTCCTGGGGCAGGAGAGGACCTAGGGGCAGGAGAGGATCCTGGGGCAGGAGAAGATCTAGGGGCAGGAGAGGATCTTGGGGCAGGAGAGGATCTAGGGGCAGGAGAGGATCCTGGGGCAGCAGAGGCTCCTGGGGCAGGAGAGGATCCAGGGGCAGGAGAGGACCCCAAGAAAGAAGAGGATCCCGAGGCAGGAGAGGCTGCAGGAGATGCCACCCTGGAGTGGGACAGCAGAGCTCCAGAGCAGCCCAAGGACCTGCAGGAAGCCAGAGCAGCTTCTGTGGAAGATGGGGGGGAACAGGAGGAGCTGGAGCTGGAAGAGGAGCCCTGGGGCAAGGGGGATGATGGCAACGGCCAAGAGCCCTGTCCAGAGGACTGGGAGGTGACAGCAGAGGACACGGAGGGGGCTTTGGGCACAGAAGAACCAGCCTGGGCGGATGACACCCCGTCCAGCACAGGAAGGCTGGAAAGTGAGGAGAGAGATGGCACACTGCCAGCAGAGCTGGAGGAAGCCCAGGAAGACGATGAAGAAGATGCCAAGAGCCAGGGGATGAGCCAGCAGCAGTCACTGCCAGAGGCTGAGCCAGCACCGGAGCTGGCAGGGGAGGAGCAGGAGGGCACCGCAGGGCAGCCTGACCCAGCCACCCCACATGCCCCGGGGCAAGGGGATAGCCAGGAGCCGGCTGAGGCTCCGGAGGAGCCGTGGGAGGTGCGGGCTGAGGATGCTGAAGAGGAGCTCAGCTCAGAGCTGGGGCAGCCGGAGAGCAGCAGCTCCGGCCTCGTGGCACGGCAGGAGGTGTCGGGGGAGGGCACAGAGAGCGGCGAGTGGGCGGAGGAGGATTTCGGGAGGCCGGGAGACTCGGAGTCCGCCCCAGGCACCGGCAGGAGGGTGGAGCTGGAGGACACCCTGCCAGACAGCACACCCTTGCACCTCTACGAGGGGGAGATGCTGGCTGGGGGTGCACCCAGCCAAACCCCCCCCGAGACCGAGGAGAGCACGGAGACAGACCCTGTGAGCGGAACAGCTCCAGAGGGGGAAGGGTGGCTGGAAGGGAGGGACAAACCACTGACTCCCACCATGCCAGAGAGCCCTGCAGAAGAGGCAGAGGCAGCCCCTGTGGCAGAGGGTGCTGAGGAGGAGGAAGGATATTTCATGGTCTCTGCTCCCAGCCAAGAAGTGTCCAGCTCAGAGGAAGCCGAGATCTCTGAGGACTTTGAAGAAATTAAAGTGGAAGCAACTGAAGGCAGCCAAGGTGACCTGGCAACTCCCAGAGAAGCATCTCCAGTGCCAGAGGGCAAAGGGCACCTCGAGACTTCTCTTGGGGAAGCAGAAGAAGACATGCAGATGCCCACAGAAGAAGACATGGAAGTGCCCACGGAAGAACCTGAGATGCCGCAGGATGAGGAGGAGGACGACACTGCTGAGCTGGAGGAAGGCCTAGCTATGCCTGAAGCAGATCCCAGCTGCCCCAGGGCCATGGGACCATCAACAGGAGGCACTGACCAGCCAGCCCAGGGTGCCACAGGCACCGGAGCACAGGAGGGACCCGAGCACTCTGAGGGTTTGGCTGCTGAACTGGATGAGGAACTCCAAGGCACAGTCGAGTTGGAGAGCGATGCCAGTGGAGCCAAAACACTCCCAGCCTGCAGCCTGGGGCTGGTGGGGCAGGAGGAGGAGCAGGATGAGGATGAGCCTGGCATGGCTCACCATGACACGGCTGAGGCCACCCCTCCAGCAGAGCTCCAGGCCCAGGCAATGCCCGAGCAGGCGGAGCAGCCGTCGGATGAGCAGCCCATGGAAGAAGAAGCAGCAGAGGGTGACAGCCCTCCCTCAGCAGGGGAGGAGCAGCCCCCTGAGGCCGACCCACCCCGGCCGGGCTCAGCACTGGAGCAGGGAGGTTTTCCAGAGGTGATTACGGACATCCCCGACACGGCTGTCCTCCCTGCAAAGGCGCCGGTGGACGTCATGAAGGACTCCGATATTTTGGAAATAGTTGAGCAGGCCCTGGAGTTCAACCAGGAGCTGGTGATGGGGGCGAGGGCGGCCGAGGGAGGGCATCAGGGTCCTGGCAGGACCGAGCTCCCCCGGGATGCTGGGGAGGACTCCTCGCCCGCCTCATCCAGCGAGGAGGAGCCGACGGTGCAGGAGGCGCCGGGAGAGGCGGCGCCGGGCACGGAGGGTCGGGTTCAGGCTGCGAACGGGCTGCACCGAGAGGCCAGTCTGGAGGACCTGGCCGAGTTCACCGAGGAGGTGCTGAACGGCATCGCCAGCACGGCCCCCGAGGCGCGGGAGTTCCCCTCGGGGACCGCAGACCCTTCCGTGGTGACGCCAGCTGAGTCCCCCGCTCCTCGAGACACCGGCACGGCCAAGCTGGGCGATGGCACCCCCTGGGGCAAACACGGCGGAGCAGACCCCGTGCCCCCCGCTCTGGGGGAGGATGTCCTGCTCCTCACAGATGACCAGCCACCAGCGTGTCGCCTGAGAGCCGAGCAGGAGCCCTGGTCCTCGGGGGACGAGTGACAGTGCCCTCCCCCCGGCAGCCCCTTCCCTGCCGTGACCCAGCACCCCCCCATTTCCCCCCCCCACCCTCCTAATGCTTCCCCGCCTCCTTACGGTTTTTAACATGTTTGTGTGGATTTTTTGCACCCCTTTTCAGAGTGAAGAACCACCAAGCTCCCTTCCATCCCACAGCCTCCCTTCCCCCCCCAAAAAAAAAAAATTGGCATGTTTGCTTTGGGACCCCCCAGCTCATTTTGAGCCTCCTCTGGGTGGGTTGCCGTGGCTGTATTTAATTTAAACTCTGTGTTTCCCCCTTCTCTTCAATCTCCTCTCCTTCTGCCCTCCCCCCCTCCCCAGCAGCTGCCCCAGGAAGGCCAGCTGGAGGCTGGGGACCCCCCCCATGCTGCACCCCAGGACTCAGTGCCTCGGAGTGATGTCACCCCGGGGTCCCCAGCCCCGACCTGCCGACAAGGGGGCTGAGCCAAGCTGGATGTTTCCGCTGCCCTGACGTTAATTTAATAAAGCCTCATCCTCCCAACTCAGAGCTTCAGCTCTCCTCACTCTGGGGGGATGGGAGGGGAGGGGGCAGCAGCGCTGGTGTGGGGGAGAGCACGGTTTGGGGTGAGGGCTGCACTTGCAGGTTGTTCTCTGCTAGGAAATCGCACTCGGGGCCATCCACCAGCATGGCTGGGTACAGAGTTCCTGGGATGACGCTCCCCCATCCCTGGGGCGGTGTGTGTCCCGTCAGTCAGCACGGGCTGGGAACAGGGTTCCTCGGATGATGCGGCCCCACCCACGCAGCCCCTGGGGCAGGCAATGCCCCCCCAACACGCGTGGAGTGATGCTCCCTCGCTCCTGTGGGGATGCAGCCCCCCTCGGGTGATGCAGCCCCATCCCCAGGGTGACGTTTCCCCACCCCCAGAGAGGTGCAGCCCCCCGAGGTGACGCTCCCCCGCCCCCGGGGCCCCGCAGATGCCACTCAGGGCTCGCTGCTGGCCAGGCACTTGCCCAACCTCGGCCTGGGCTGCCGGCAGGAATGGGGCGGGACGCCAGCCCACCCTGTGCCCGTGCCAGTGCCCGGAGCCAGGAGCCGACAGCACCAGCCGCTGTTCCTGCCCGGGCTGGGCACGATGCCCGCGGGACAGCCCGTGGCTCCCGGGAGCTGCGGGAACCCCGGAATCGCGGTGGGGACAAATCTTGGCCCCCTCACCCAAAGGGTGCTGGGCTTCGTGGGGGGTTGGGGTGCTGTGAGAGCAGCCGGGGGCCTCAATCACCCCGTTGTGCAGCCGGGCGTGGGGACGGCGCGGGAAGAGCCGCACAAATGAGCCCGCGGCCGAAGAATGGGTTCCTTTATGCCGGGCAAAGGGCTGAGTCACCCCGGGCGAGGGGACGAGGGGACCCGGGTGGCCGCGGCATCCCTGGGGACCGCCGGCCTCGCACCCACGGGCGTGTTCAGAGCCGCTCCCGCCTGGCTGGCCCCGCCGCTTGCCCACGCACCGGATTTAGCCCGTCCCGTCCCCGTGCCAGCGCCCAGGGATGCTCAGAGCCAGGGGACCGATAAGGAGCCAGCACTTATCTGCCTTCCTCCGTGCAAAGCCCCCGGCCCCCTCCCCTGCCCGGAGGCGACAGTTTCCTTTTAAGGTTAAACTCCAGCGGCTCCGAACACCGAAATAAAAAATATCCCCCTCTCAGGAGTTTAATCAGGCGCCGAGTCTGCGTTCAATCAGCCCCCGGCCCAGCACAGCCTGCGGGCGTCTGGGCAGCATCAGCCCGGCAGCATCTCCAGGAGCCTCCCCG